CGTCTTATTGAATTATAAAACAAACATCATTGTTTTGATAATGTCGAGCAGGGGTTGACAACCATTTGCTAACTATTTCCCTATTAGGGTTTTAAAATTATTCAGTGTGCCAAGAGCATACGTATTTATATACAAGTCAAGTTCAATATACCTGTTCTACAATATGTTTTATGTAGTAATATATTTTATATAGTAATATATTTTATATAGTAATATATTTTATATAGTAATATACACAATAATACGTAAACCACATTAATAAAAATAAACTGTTTTAAACAGTTCTTTTTTTAAAAAAAAAAATGATTTCATTATTAATGGGAGTCCAACGATTGAGCAGTTTTGAAACAGTTATGTATCTTTGAATTGTACTAGTTGTTGATTCGGACTTCGTGATGTCATTTGCAGCTGCTGTCATTGGATATTGCTTGGCGTGCCACTATGGCCCGCGTGCTGTAGGTGGCCCACCCGGGATGTATAGACTATATAATGGCCGGCGACCCGAACAAGGCTGTACGCTCAGGCTGTTGGTTAAAATGGCTAGTAACATCTCTCTAATTTAGCCCTCTACCTAACTGTATTAAGAAGCATATTGTTTCCAGTCATTTTCCAACGATATCTTACACAGTTATCACATTCCCATGCCGATAAAACCAAAAATTTACATTCTTAACAAACCGTCCATGTTGAAAATTGCATCAAGGATTCACAACCGGAAAGTGAACATTCAACACTCGGCCATACGTTCTGTAAACGCATACGTACGTAAGCGCATATATAAGCATGCATATATTTGTTTAATCAAACTTTTATTAACGAAGAACTTTTGCGGCATCATACACACATATATTAATATACAAGCCATTAATTATTTATTTAATAAATTATAAATAATTATAATTAATAATTCATTTATTAATGAAGAATTTTTGCGGCATCATACACACATATATTAATATACAAGCTAAGCCCGTTGCTGAGTGTCACATATTCTTTGTAAAAAATTGATGAATGATTTTAATTCAGCATTATAATTTGTGGAGAAAAATGATGCATTTCGGTATTACTCAATTGCCGATGTCACCTCCATTTTCTGGATTTCTCTTTCTATATTTTAGATAGGAGTCATTACCTTGTTAAAATTTAAATTTAATTTATATCAAAGGGAAAAAAAATTCAGTGGGAGTTTTGTGCAAAACAGCTTCATCTGAGGCCTTTGATATGTATTTGATGCGATACTTAATTGAATGAATTGATGTGCAGATTTTAACATTGATATGACAGCTAAATTGTCGCAAAAAATATATAATGTAAAGCACTAGCCACTGGTTGGTGATTCTTGATCAATTTGACGTTCATACTGTCTCCTTTTGCTCTTGCCAATGTGGATATATATTTTGGATAGGTGTGATTCCCTTTTTTCAAATTTAAAGTTTAAGTCAAAGAGAAAAAAAATTCAGTGGCGGGGGGATTGTGTCCCCCAACGGTACCCCCTTTGATCAAAATGATCTTGCTGATGTGACCTCCATCCTCTGACTTTCTCCTTCTATATTTTGCATAGGAGTTATTCCCTCGTTCAAATTTAATTTAAATCAATGGAAAAATCACTGGGGCCTTGTGCACCACTGGGAACCCCGTTGGATCAAAATGAAATATACTTATCCAAATACTCTGGGAAATTTAATTTCAGAATATTTATGGTTATATCCAAAACCATAAGAGGAGTTCATTAACAAACAATAAAGCAGTCAGACAGAGGCTACACACACACAAACATATATATATATATATATATATATATATATATATATATATATATATATATATATATATATATATTTCTGAGATGAGGTATTGTGTATATTATTTACATTATTCGGATTATTGTCCTCATCTTTGTCGCCATATTTATTCATAGACAAGGAACGCCATTGAAAAATTCGTAAACTTAAGGAATCAGCACGTATACTAGGCCACAAAAATCTCCTGGGCTGATCAAGCATAGAAATGAATACAATATGGGTACCAGTAATAAGGAGTGCCAGAGAAAAGCGATAATAACAACAAAAGTTGCAATATGAGCTCAGGTAAAAACATGATGATAACAGCAAAAAAGAAAAAAAATGCAATATGAGCACTGGTAAAAATGGTTGCTGAAGACATTAGGCTTATAATACCCAGAAATTCATAAACGGATGTCCTCAAGGACACATGGCACAGTTGATAAAGGCGTTGGTTAGATCAAGTGACAGGACACAAAGAGTTGTGAGTTCAATAACCGGTTAATGCAGTGGAGAACTTTCAGAGGGAAATTAACAGATGATAACTGATAACTGCCTTCCATTAAACATGGCACGTGGAACTAGAACAGTCTACTCCAGTGAACGAAATAAAGAGTTAAGTTCGACATTTCAAACATTTGAAGAAGCCCTACAACGGCCGAAATGTTGTAATAAATATAACGACAATAGTCCGAATAATGTAAATAAAATATATATATATATATATATATATATATATCAATAACATTTTTAGGCGAAAGAAGGATGAATAATTCTGGTTATGACGATAAAGTACATCCGGTAGCAAGGACACTGACTGTAAGTTTGGAGGTTTTGAGGATCATGAACCACTTCTTAATATCTGTTGTTTCCACCAATACATGTTTACAGTAAAATTACCAACAACAAATACTTAGATTAATATTTCCGATAATAGATATCAATAATAAAGTTACCAATGCGCAAGCTCGTATAATATCTGGCAATTTCTTCAAGAAATCAAACGGTATTCCAAAATGAAACATATACTTCCGCCTCTAGTAATAATGTCCACACAAACACAGTCTGTTTTCATGTTTGAAATTGTCATGGTCTGATGATTGCGTTTAAGCATGAAACAGTCTAGGTACTAACCTTAATGTCCTCTTTTATATTTACATACGCTCTATCCCTGACATTGAGCACTTTTAACGCATAAATATGTCATAACGTAAAATTAAATTTGATCACACACACACACACACACACACACACACACATATATATATATATATATATATATATATATATATATATATATATATATATATATATATATATATATGCAATAACAATATGTCCTGCAATGAATTTGAAAATACGTACAGCATTGTACAGTTAAGTTATATCAAGAGACTGGCTGGGAAATAGAAGAACTTACAGCAGGAGATAAAAACATGCTTTTCATATATATATATATATATATATATATAATATATATATAATGTATATATATATATATATATATATATATATATATATATATATATATATATATATATATATATAAAATATTTGTCTTTTTATATATGTGTGTGTGTGCACACACATAAAAAAACATATATATATACTCACACACACACACATATATATTCCAA